TATGTAAACCCAGATGATAAAACTTTGGTGAGATGTTGAAACTCAAGGCGTGAATAAATGGACTGATACAGTACATTTGTGGGTCGAAACAGTTAATATTATGTACATGCTCACACAACTCAAAGCAACCCAGAAAACTAATGCAATCCCTACAACATTTTAGTGACATTTTCCACAGAAATAGGAAACAATTCTATTCATATAGACCCCCAAAGACCCTGAATATCCAAGACAACATAAGCAAAAAGAAGAAAGTGCCACACTGCCTAATTTAAAGCTCCTACAAAGCACCAGCAATCAGAGCAGCCTGGGGCCAGCATAAAATCAGACGTATACAATAATGGAGCAGAATAGAGAGCTGGGAAATAAATGTGTGAATTTACTGTCAGATGACCTTAAATGAAAACGTCAACCGTGTCAGAGGCACACAGGAAAGAAGGGATGGTCACTGGGAGGCTGGAGAGCTGGCTTAGCAGTTAAGAACATGCATTTCGCTGGGCGGTGGTGGGGCACGCCTTTAATCCCAGCACTTGGGAGGCAGAGGCAGGCGAATTTCTGAGTTCGAGAGTTCGAGGCTAGCCTGGTCTACAGAGTGAGTTCCAGGACAGCCAGGGCTACACAGAGAAACCCTGTCTTGAAAAACCAAACGAAACCCCCCCCCCCCCCCAAAAAAAAGAACATGCTTGCAGAAGACATGGTGAGTTCAGTTCCCAGCAGTCACGTTGGGTGGTTCACCGGATTCTGTAACTTTAATTCCAGAGCTATCAGGTACCTGTGGCCTCCTGTACAAGCACTGCACCCATGTGCACATAACCTCGAACAGACACAGTCGAACACAGTATTAGATTAAAAAGTGGAAATGGCAGTCTCCTTATAAATGACATTGGGAAGGTAAGCTATTTACAGGCATAAGAGTGAAACTAGATATCCATCTCATGTGCACCAGTCAACTCAAATGGATTAAGTGTGTCTCTAAAACGTGAGGCCTGAAATTGTAAAACTCTGAAAATACAGAGGAAGTTTTCTTGGCAATAATTGGCCTGGACAGTGTTTTATCAGCAAGATTTAAAAGCAAGGACAGAAAGAATAGAAGTAGGCAAGTGGGACTATATTTAACTTAAAATCCAAAGTCATTACAACCTGGGGTAGTAGTGCACACCTGTAAAGGTCATGAGTTCAAGGCTAGCCTGGGTTACATAGCAAGAATCTGTCTTAACAAAAATTTTTAAAAATCACAAAATGATAAGTATGTGAGGTGATGAGTTGGTTAGCCTGATCTAATGACTTTACAGTATACACATACATCAAAACACCGTGTGCTATACTGTATACGGTTTTACTTGTCAATTATAGTATAATAAAGATATAGGAGGCAAAAGGAGAGATATTTTCTTGGGAGACAGGAGTCCACTAGTGTTCTCAGAACAGAGCCAATATAGGGGAAATTTGATGAATATTTAGCAAGAGAGAAATAGATTAAGCCCTAACGTCATTTGATCTAAATCATGGATCCAAATAGTCACCCTTGAAACTTTCATTTCTTGTAGTCAATATATTTCTTTTTGCTTCTTTGCTTATAGTGGGGTTTTATCTATTAGAAACCAAAGCCTTGACAAGTGAAGTGTCCCAGTCACTGTATTATTAAACCCGGGCTACAAGCTCATGCCTACTGGGAAGAAGACATTTGTTACCAATAGCAATGTTTCAGCTCCTCACGCCTCCCTTAGGTACAGGAGAGCAAAGCGAAACCCAGCCTGTGACCTCAGCAGCTTAGGCTCTGCTTGGGACCAACCATTTCTGGTCACTTTTGATTGGACTGAGGGAATTCAGGGCCAGTGACAGTGCAGAGGACTGTTACAGGGTTACATGTTTTCAGGAAAAATAAATTTTATGAAGACTTTCTAATTGTGTGGTTGTGCCATGGGCTTTTGAATAGACACATGACTCTAGACTAGAGGCATAGGAAGCCCCATAAATTAGGAGAAGTGAGAGGAAGGCAAGGAAGGGCTCATTAAAGAATGAAGCAATTGTCAGCCAAAAGATGTAGCAATTTAGCAATTTTGAAAAGTGGAAATGGTACTTCTAGATATTCAGCTGATGCTGCTTCTCCTCCTCCTCTTCCTCTCCTACCCCTCCTTTCCTACCCCCTCCAATCCTACCCCCTCCTTTCCTACCCCTCCTCTCCTACTCCCTCCTCTCCTACCCCCTCCTCTCCTACCCACTCCTTTCCTACCCCCTCCTCTCCTACCC